AATGTCCACCTTTCCACGTCACCGCGGATGATGTGTCGGTGCCTGTCGGGCGCCTCGAGGTCGACTACATCTCGGGACATCAACTGGTGCGGGGCCGTAGCGGCGTTCTCGCTGTCCTGTACCCGACGCATTGGGTAGGCCTGACTATTACTTCATGGGAACGGGAATCCGACCTTGATCTATTCCGTCGACACATCCTCTTGTACTGGTCCCGGGAGGCCTGCCAAAGCAAGCAGGGTAACCGTACATATCGAGTGGCTCGGACTCGCGCGGCAGAGCGGGAGCTAGCCCGGAATCGTGGAGAACGCTCTTCGCCTCCTGGGGCTGATCTTGTGCTTAATTAACGCGACTTGGCTTCGCCGTTTCAGCACTTCGCCCCTCCCTGTTGGCGCGCGGCTGTGGTACAAGGCCCGTGATGGATTGTGGTGGACCGGACATATTGGTGCTCATCAGGGCGGCTCGTACATCGTTCGATTTTTGGATGACCCGGGCCCAAGCGTTCTGCCTCTTCCTGCGCATCTCTACTCCACTGCCTTGGACGCCGTCTGTGGATCATGGTGTTTAGAGAGACATCGTTCGCGCCCTCTGGGCGACAACCGTGGTCGCACTCCGCTCCTTGCTGACTCCTTCCCGTCGGCTGTTCCCACCATTTCTTCTTAGCGTCGTCGTTTTCATATACCAATCGGCCTATTTTGGTCTTTTGTGCCATCCTTCTCGCCGACGTTTTGCTTTGTGTTTTTTTTTTCTGTCACCTTCCGTTTTGTTTTATTTTGTTTTGTTTTTCTGTGTTGTCTCTTTTCTTTCGTTGGCTTATTTTGTTTTGAACGCTGGGGCAACGCCGCCTCAAGACACGCAGTGTCGAGTGATCCTTCTTCCTTATTGCCTGCATTCATCTGAATCAGTGAACTACCGCGACCTGGATGTCCGTTCTCTCTCGCCTTTGCTTCAATTTTTTTTTGTTGTTGTTGGTCTTTGGTTCTCTCAACAAGCTCCCTCCGAAGTTTCGTTGGTGTTGTTTGCCTCTGAACACTTGAAAAAAGAGTTCCCCAAGTTTCGTCGGTGATTTTTGTCTCGGGACACTTGGACACCGAGTTCCCCGCGTTTTCCTGGTTCGCCTGTTTGCCAACTAATGTTGCCTTGATTTTTTTTGTTTTAGTTCCATCGTGCCGCAGAAGTGTCGCATACACTTGGTGCTTCGGGATTCCATCCCGTGGCGTCGCCTTTTCCCATGGATTTCGTCGTCACCCACACTTCGTTCTGCTTCGTCTCCATCATCGCCACCTTCGGGCGACGCCTTCATCACAGTAGCGCCCCTGAGTCGTCGTCTTGTTGTGTGAATCTCTACGACTTTCTGTGTTTTATGTCTTTGAATGATGCGTATCGCCAGCGAACCATGGCGCAGTTCGTCGACCGCCCCTCTTGCATTAATCTCTTGTGCTTTGCATCCTTGGTCCTCAATAGGTCTTACCCCGGCCGTCTCCTTATACCGGTTGGGTACCCTGGCACGCTGGCCATCGTTCTCCGTGCCTTTGCCTGTCGTTCTTTTCTCCTGCCCTTCGTTAACGTCCTAGATTGCGTTGAGTTTCCCTTTGCGTCGCGTCCAGTATCAAAAGCCGTATTCGTTCGGAAGTTTGTGGGTTTTGAGTTTCGTCACCGTATTTTGGACTCGCTCGGGTAGCCACCCTCATTCCTCCAGCGGTGATACGCGCGGGTGCGCGTAAAAGAGTGGTGTGTGGCGTCTGGATATTGATTTTTTTTTCCTGTCGTCGTCTGTTCAGGATGATAGCGTGCTCTGCCGCAATATATATTCTTCGTAGCTTTATCCCTTCAAGCGTTGTCATTGAGATGTCGATGTTCCGCCTCATGACCGTTGGCATTCTTCATCTCAATGATGGTGTGGGGGATTGATTCGGGATATTTCTACAACTCATCCTCCCTTTGGATGTTTTGTGAAGAGTCATATCTTCGATTCATGATCATGAATCATCAGCTAATATCGTACTGTAGCTTTAGACTAGGATTTGAGCGTTGATTTGAGTATAGAATCTGCATATATGATAGNTCATCTCAATGATGGTGTGGGGGATTGATTCGGGATATTTCTACAACTCATCCTCCCTTTGGATGTTTTGTGAAGAGTCATATCTTCGATTCATGATCATGAATCATCAGCTAATATCGTACTGTAGCTTTAGACTAGGATTTGAGCGTTGATTTGAGTATAGAATCTGCATATATGATAGTCAGGGTGGGCTAGTGTTAAGGAGTGTGGCTGCTAGCATGAATAGGGTACATCTTGTTGTTGATAGGATGCGGGTCGGTCAGGAGGTATACCCTTCTGACCCCTACCCCCTTAGAATTATCTACTCTGTGTACCCCCTCAGATGAAGTTGGATCCCCACTTCATCCCAGACCTTTGCTGATCGTCTCTCAGCAATAACAAGCAACTTTCCCATCTCAACGTGGTCGTGGACAAGCGTGTCAACGACAGAACCTTCATCTATCTCTAGGAGCAAGCTCCCGCCCACGGCATCACTCCTTGAAATAAATCCAAATATATTCGAAGAAGTTTGTTTCACATGTTCTTAGAAATTCGAAGATGTAGATGTTTTGGCAGGGTGTTTCCTCGGGTGGTTCTGGTCGTTGCCCCCCACTCGTGTATCGGGTGTGTGTTTGGATCTTTCTCTGCGTTGACTCGCGATATTTTCAAGCGTTTTTTTGGGCGAAACGTGCTTTGGTGTTTCTCCACACGTAGTATTGTAGGCGTCTGGCAGCGTGTGGACGCTGAGAGATAAAGGAGAACTTCCTCCCTTCGATACTTGCTGCGTTTGGCGGTCACGGCGGAAATATACCTAACACTTTCAACACTGGTTTTGACTTGCTGACAAACCGTTGGATCACACCGTCCACTGCCTACATGTAAATGAAAAATAGTCTAGTGTTCTTTTTGTGCGAACCTGGTGCATTTTCGTTTTGTCGTAGCGATACCTTTCTGACAAAGAACGGTTGGTTATATTCCTCTTTCTTCGGTCAAAAAGGACAGATACTTTTTGTTTGAGAAACGGGTCCTCTTTGCGTTCTCCACCACACAGAATTTTCTCTCTCCACTGGAATGGAAACCAATTGGGGCCAGCCCAGTGATTTCGTTAGAGGTTTTACAGATACCCTTTAGGAGCGGGTTCTGTCAGGATTGATACATTGTGTCCTCTTGGGAAAATGTCCAAGTCAGAAAAAGAAGTCGCAATCGGAGTATCGAGCCGTTGTCCTTCAACACTATGCACATATACATTATGCGAAGGTGTACCGTTCTGGTGAAAGTCGAAAGACGGGTAGGTTGGGAACCGGTTCCTCCCTGACATTAGAAAGACCACCGACTCCCCAACAGCGTAGTACACCGAGAAATTTGGGACGAGAAGGAAGACACCCCAAGTCAACGAAATGATTCAACATTGGTCAAACACAAGAACACGGTTGTGGGCACGTCACTATGGACGCAAGATCCACCAAAACTGCGTTGGGCTAGTTACAAGCTCTCCGAGCGTATCGCCGCAACAGTGGTAACTCAAAGCACGGGTTTCTCCTTGCCCTATGAAATTATGTGCCGGTTGAAAACCTCGCAATGACGCTCGTGCTTCACACGTCACTGTTTTCCTTTTCTAGTTTCGATAGTGTAATGGAACCCGAAGGAAACCTTCATGTCTGTGTTCATGTTTCCCGCGCTCTTTGTCCGTCGTACCTGAGGTAAACCCCGGGGTATGTATTGGCTACTACTGTTGTGTTTTCGACTACTGCCGTCGTGTTTTCTACGGTTGATGGGGTCTTCCCGGTAGTCGTTCAACCTCCATGTTCTGGTATTGAAAATATATGATTCTGGTGTTGAAAAGAGAAGCCCACACATTGTGATGCTGTGACCACACACGAGTGAGTCTTTGCCAGCGGGAATTGTTGGCAACAAGAAAAACACCGGTCAAGGCAATCTATAGAACAATCTTTGTTGCTGACTTTTGCCTGGGAAAGCCATTTGACACCCATGTTTGTCCCCGAGCAGCGGTCGACCTATCTACCCACAAGGTCTCCCGAAAAATACACGAAGGCAGTTTTTCTTTGTGCCAATACAGTATGTATCATGCCACACAGGAAGACGATCCTTTCACCCATAGCCCCAACTTTCTAACGTTCGCGAGCTCACAGTCAACTCAACACGTCTCTGTCCTACCGAACATATATCAGCCGCTCCGTGGGAGGTGCCGTACCATCGTGCTGTCTCACGTAATGGAGAAAGCCCATACGCATCCTTACCACGCCGACTAAAAAAACGTCGAAACCAAACTATATGCTGGGTAGTGTTCTTCACGTAGGGTGAACTACACCTATTCACTGGTCGAACGTCTCTGCCGAAGCAAACACCTCCTTCGACTTCAGGCACGTGGTGTCCACAACGTCAAGGCAGGAGCGTAGGCACTGGTTGAAAATGGTTGGCTTGGGGAACTGGTTTCGATAGCTCGTGCAGTGGAAGTCGCACCGCTCCGTCGATTCCCTGACGCAATCGCGGTGGCGACCTGAGCCGCGAGTCGTGAGAAAAGGAAAACATTACTGTTTTGTGCTGTAATGTACCGACGAGAGGCGTCTGTGCTAAAATGTAATTCTGATTCAGAGCTGAATAACCCCATTCTTTGGCTAAATGACCCCTTATTTGAATAAGTTCTGCAGACTTCAGTTGGGCCCCTCACTCAATGGGGTTTTTACAAGTAAATATCGACAATCGACCCCTGTGTGGCGGCGCGACTCACCTCCAACACATGCCGTATCCCATGCCGTTGTGACTCCCGCCCGGCACCCAGCCAAACACGATCGATGGGCGAGGGGTCTGCAATGTTTGTTGACAATATCGTCGGAAGATGCATTCACCAAGGGGTGAGCGATCGTTCCTGATGTGCGACAGTAACGATGAACGCAACTCGTGAAGGTTTCTTGCTGGCCCCCATTCCCTCCGGTGTCTCTCAAGAACCTACATACCAGGAAGCATGGAGTAAAGTGCCAATGCCTCCCATGTACGTACGCCTAAGCTTGGAGCGTCTACTTGGTCATCTCATACTACTGAGTGATTCCTGTCGATAAGTTGCTGCTTGTCGCCAGATCTGAGCGGTTTCATGTGTCTTCTTGGCAGCCAATAGCGTTTGACTACTACTACTTGTCCTCTAGTGACCGTTGGTAAGACGAAATCCACTGAGAGCGCAGTCTTTCAGGGCTTTGACCGATGGGTGAGGAACACGTCAAATTTGACGTTTCTCTTTTTTCTGATCTTTGAGGCGCCGCGATGCTGCCCACGGAGAATGACATTTAGACCAAAATCCTACACAGCAATGGGTGGTTCCCGGTTTGCAACCAAAGCATCATAGTAGTGATTGACTCTTTGTGTAACGTGGCTCGAAGAAGTGATTGGGAGCCTCAATATTGTACCAGAGACACGGCATTTACCTTGGTGCTGTGGTACGAGCTTTCGCGCACACCTTTGCACACGTTTTGCTCTCCACCTCATGTTTTTTCCCGCTTCCGACGCACGCCAGTGTCTTCAGCCGCAAGCCGTTCGTAATACCACTATTATCGGCTGGCGCCGCTTCTTCTAAAGAACTTGTTATCAACTCCCCGGTACGATCTAATGAACTTGTTGCCACCTCCTCACTGGTACGATATGGCAGTCGACAAAAGATGCAGCATCAAGGAGGTTTAGGACACGATCTGCAAGTTTCTTATGTCGATACGCGAGCAACAGTAGTCAATTGTAACGTTGTAACCAGGACAATTGAGATGCACGAGTCGCCGGCTCACTATTTAGTCTAGTTCCTTAGTTTCACCTGTTCATGAACAATCGAAGTCCGACACCACACCGGCCTCGAAAAAACAATACTATTGCTGGTCGGCCTCAAGAACCCTCGTATTTGTATGGCTAAAACGCTTCAAGACATGATCGACCCGACCTCTTTGAGTCCCGTTTAGGTGGAAGGTTTTATGCCTTTGCCTAGAAATTATAGGAAGCCGCTATCATTCCAAGGTGGAGGACCAAGACGAACCGGCAATTCGACAGCAAGTAAGTATCGTTCGGCCAATCCCTGCAGCTGTGTGACTCGCATCGTAGACTACGACACAAATATCCACTGTGTAGTAGACGAATGCTCAGCCAAATATGAGAGGGAAATCGTTCTGATACGCGCATGTAGAACGATTAGTCTACATTTTTTCATGCGCCTTGGTAGGGATTGATGTGATATCATGTACCGCAGTTGGCGAATGCAGCCAGTCCTCCTTGTGGGTAACTCGGCGGTACAACGCGGAGACCTACAACAACAGTACCAACCGGGCGTCATACCGTAGTCCAGTGGGCTGGACCGGATGACATTTCACTCATTACTCTACATGTAGTTCATCCATGTTACATAGGCTACAGCATCAACAGGCATAGACTATAGTCTACTACGTAGGTGTCACTCCTAACCCTGATGTTCCCCGCATGTGCGGTACTGACCGACGCATGCATCTATCTGTGCACAGGACGGCAACACTCACTCCACGACCGGCTCTGTTCTTCGCCCTCTCAGTCCAGCCGCCAGCAACAACAAGCTCATCACCACCACAACAACTGTCAGCCCCACGGCCTTTCTCTGCCTAGATCGCTTGTTGTGTCGACATGTTTCCCAGTATTGATCAGACTCGGACTTCCAGAACGATGTTCTTCGTGCGCCATGCTGCTGCCGGCCGTACTTTGGCGCTGATTCTGCCGAAGGATTGATGACCGGCAGCCTCTGTCTTGGCGGCATCCTCGAACGCCAAGAAGGGTGTTTAGATGAAGAAGACACAGCGTGTCATTAAATTCACCATAATATTCGAACGGCGGGACAAACGCTAATCCCCGATCAGATTGCGCGCGGCAGACGACGAGTAAAGATCTGCGATCTGCGACGGTTTCACGTTTGCGACAGTTTGGTCCAGTTTTTGGGGGGGAGCACACAATTCACGGAGCCCCTTGTGCGGCGGGTTTGGGTCAGCGAGTCGCTATTGAAAGAGGCCTCGCACTCCCTGCTGCTGTGCTGTCCTGGGTGTAGTTGTGGTACACAGTGGACCGCCCGGTGGAATGGCTAGCTACCGCACCGATCTTGGCTCTTTATTCCCTGTGGTAGGTTCGAAGCAGCATGCGTTCGTTGTGCCTGCTTCTGCGATTTCCAGCAAGCGACGGAGGGTGCGGCAGCGAACGCCGTCACGTCAAGTTCAACAACAAACGCCTGTGGCTGCCGGCCGCATGCTGTCCAGAGATGGAGATCGTCACCAACAACGTCTGAGCACCACCACCAAGCACGACAACAGTGTTACTGAAGCGAAACGACGGGTCAATGGCAGGCTCGTGGTTGCGTCCCGAGGTGGGGGTGGGAGAAGCAGCAGCAACAACGGCGTTGTTGGCCGTAGCGGAGACTCTGCTGCCGACATCTTCACATCTCGCAACCGGATGATGGCCGCAGCAAGACGACGGAGATGGACAGAGGTTTGTTGTGCGCTCAGGGGGTTACACCGATCGTTTGTGCGTAGGGTCTAGACATAAGGTTCTATCTACAACAATAGTAGGTGGCAGACGCTGGCGCGGCGGAGCGGGCGTACAGCTGTGTCTCAGCCCAGGTTATGTTGCAAGCAACAGCCGTTGCCGCTCTTCTCGCTTTCTCATGACTCTACCCTTCATTCGAACGACACCGTCAACCCTGGGTGGCCACACCACATCAAAAACAGGTTTTGGAGATCCTGGGCCACTGGGAGGAGAACGCGGGGAGGCTAGATGCGAAGACGTATAACGTCGCCTTGTCTGCGCTCGGCAAATGCGGCAGGTGCAGTCACACCGATCCACCAGCCATTTTTCCATTATTAATACAACCTTGTCCACGTTGTGTCGTGAGAGACTGTTCAGTGAATGTAGCGGGCTTATTTGCGCAAAAGAGACGGCGAAAGGAGACGAGAAACAGAGCGACCCGCTTGTCTGTCGGTGCGACCCTCATACGCCACGATCAAGGAAGGTTGGGCTTCCTTCGGGCGGAGGGACGAACGCTGTTTTCGTGTGGCCTGCGCTGTGCTTAAGACGTGCGGGTAGTCGAGAGGGAGGTCGGCAGACTAAAAGACAACGATGTCGCACAAATAATTGTTTCGATCGGTGGTTCGTTTTTGCCGCAGGTGATGATCGTGCAGTAAGCCAGCATCAGTCGGTCTTGTGAACCTCAAAACTCGATGGTCGTGCACATGTTCCCGCATGCGTCCATGCAGGTGGAAAGAGGCGCTTGCGACGCTCGATCGCATGCGATCCAAGGGTGTGCCGCCGGACGTCTACTCCTTCAACAGCGCCATCTCGGCCTGTGGGCGAGCGGCCAAGTGGAAGCAAGCCTTGGCCCTCCTTTCAGAGATGGAGAGGGAAGACTCGGAGGTACGGCCGGACTTGTTCAGCTACAATGGCGCCATCAATGCCGTGGCAAAGGATGGCCGGTGAGCGGAGCGAACAACGGGCGGGGGGGGCGTACTCTTATCTTTTGTTTTGCATGCCTTAGCCGTTAGACCATTGACCACGCGTCCTCGAGAGGACGGAGCATTGTTCCCAAAGGACCGATCACCGATGGCCAGTCGTCCCTTCTTACTTTTGCCACAGGTGGCTCAACATTTTTGCCCTCTAGTCTATATATTCTATCATTATCACTTCCCGCCTTTTCAACCCACCTGCTGTGCCCCAGTACAGCCACCGTCTTCTCCTGACCATTCCATGCCTCAGACATCTCTCTATATCTTCCTTCTAATTTTCCCAGCTCAGTCATGTACACTTCCCTCGCCTTCTTGTACAACAGATATTCCCCAATTACATAATCATCGATGGCCAATCGTTTCTTCCTTCTTTTTGCTCAAGGTGGCTCAATAATTTGTTCCCTAGATTACGGGAGGTACTTCATGTGTGGAGCACGATACCACATTCTTGCTTGACATCCATCGCAGACGTGTCGTATCGACATGCAAGCGGTCGGGATGAGGCTTCTATTTGGGGACGCTTCTCCTTGTTTAGATCGTGCCACACCTAGCGACACATGCAGAGACAGACTACTGTGTCTGGCACACACATACTTGACGCACAGGCCGTCGCCGTCTTTTTATCGTGATGACTAAGGCTCGACTTCAAACAGATTCGTTTTTTGCCGCCGGGTGTCGTTCGTAGTCCAAGTACGACATTTGTTCGGACGAACGACATCGTCTTCAGTGCATGCCTCACCATATCATGCTCTTGGAGTCCCGCTGGTGTTCTGTTTTCGCTAAACATTCCCGTAGTTTTTGACGGCCGTTTTTCTCGTTGTTGTTTCACCACACTGCCTCTTGCAGATGGGAGCAGGCGCTGAGCCTCTTGATGGGCATCAAAACTCGAGGCCTTTCGCCGGACGTCTTCAGTTTCTCGAGCGCGATGTCCGCTTGCGATCGGGCCGGCAAGTGGCAGGTGAATCACACTACATTGTGCGCGATGTCTTAAAGCAATGCATCACAGCTCTCTGATCTTGTTGCCCTTCGTATGCCATGTTTTACTCGGGAGTCGGCGGGTTATTTCCGGCGACTTATTTGCGAACATTCTCTCAGCCAGGGTTCGCCTTCGACGCGGGAGATCTCAAGACGTTAACCCGATACCAGTATCGAACGACACGGCAGTGTGTGTTCTCAAGTGTTGGCGGAGCACTGTCCGTGTCGGGAGATGGGGTGGATGATCGTTCCCGCTTCTGCACATTTATTTTTTGGTGCCTCTGCCATGCTGTGCTACAGCGCTGTCGAAACGTTATGAATGTTTAGTTTGTGGACCACCGTATTCTACTGGTGCTGGCGCTGACGTATTCCTGCGGTATCTCATTTTCAGCCAGTGACGGCTATGTTTTACGCTGTTGACCACTCGCGGAAGTGCCTACGTTCCCTGCCCAAAACGAGAACCAAAAGTTCTACCATTAAGTTGACCAAGAAACACCCTCATATGTATCATTTAAATCGCCAACCGCTCGTGGCCATGTTTTGTGTGCTCTTGTGGGTGTGGATGGTTCCTTCTGGGCGAACTACCAGCGCGCGTTGGAAGTCATGGACCTGATGCTCCAACACGAGGTGGAGCCCAGCATCGTCAGCTACGGAACGGCCATCAGTGCTTGCGCTAGAGGAGGTGGGTACTGTACGCCATATGTTTTTGGGCTTTTTGTTGCACATTGAAAACACGCCATCGCCATCTTTTCAACGACGTAGCTTCCACAGTCAGCATTCGACCTAGCGATATCCTTCCCTTCCCTGGCTTTTCCTCCGTTGCCTGAGGCCCGTATACCCGCCAATCGCCCCCCTCGCAACCCCCCTGCTCGCCCCTCTCTCCACGCGCACACTGATGCACCTCTCCAAACAAACAAAACAATACCGAGAGAAGGGCGGTGGCAGCAAGCGCTGTCTCTTTTGGCCGACATGCCGTCCAGGGGTCTCGAGGCGAACGCCCACGCGTACAGCTCGGCGATTCACGCCTGCGTCGTCGGAGGCCAGCACCGGCGGGCTCTGGAGCTGCTTGAGGAGATGCTGGAGCGCCGCGTCGTCCCGGACGCGGCCGTGTTTACGGCGGCGATGACAGCGGTGGACGGGTGGGGTGCGGCGTTGCGGCTGCTGGAGGTTATGAAGCGAGAGGTGGGGCTGTGGCTACTGGTGATGTAGGGCGCTGCAGTTGGGCGTGGGGGGGGGGGGGGG